CCTTAAACAATGAGGAAGTGTAAGCATGAAAACTGAAATCCTACACGTCGTTCATGTCCAATCATGTCCAATCATGTCGGCTAAAAATAGCTGCTTTCCGGAAAGCTGCAGTCAGCTTTTATTGCCATTATCAGTGTCAGGTAAAAAAATCCACAAATTGTTTCTTCCTGGTGTGATGTTTACTGTAAAAACAAAGAGACTGAGAAAAGATTAAAAGCTCACATGGAGTACAAGGTGCCTCAGTCACCTGCCTGAATAAATGTCTCGTATCTGTCAAGGACGTTACCAAACATCATTTAAAGTAATCTCTAACCTGTATAATATTTGTCCCATAGATCAACATATTCTCCACGAGTTGGAGAGGAGGAAGATCCTGGTGTACACGCCATCCCGCTGCGTAAACGGGAAGAGGGTGGTGTGCTATGATGACCGCTACATAGTCAAGCTGGCCTTTGACTCAGATGGCATCATCGTGTCCAATGACAACTACCGCGACCTGCAGACAGAGAACCTCCAGTGGAAGAAATTCATAGAGGAGAGGCTGCTGATGTACACATTCGCCAATGACAAGTAAGGCTTCTTAAGGGGCAGGTTGAAGGGGGTTACTTGTTTTGCATGGCTGATTGGGGGTGATTTGCCCCACTGTTGGACCATGTGTTCAGCTAGACTAACTGCAACTCTGTGCCGGTGCAGGTTTATGCCTCCAGATGATCCTCTGGGCAGGAATGGTCCCACTATTGATGATTTTCTGAGAAAGAAGCCACGCACCCCAGAAAACAAGCTGCAGCATTGTCCATATGGTTAGTACGGTCTATTTGAACAGACAGCTCATGTTACACTTCCTTGTGCTCCTCTAAAGATAAGAAAAAATATATACAATCAATGGAACTTCTGTGTAAATAGAGGTTTGTTTTCTGAGCAGATACCATTTCAAGTTCAGTCACCAGGGATACACACACACACACACACACACACACCGCTGTTAAGCAAACATGACAGTAAGCAAATATGATGCATTTCTTGCATCAGAAGATTCCCACCAGCATTTCTTATCCAAACTTCAGCACACACAGCAGAGGACCAGTGCATACAAACAGGTCGTTTTACACTAGCATCATGAGTATTTATGTTTAATAGTAGCTGATCTAAGGAGCTTAGAAAAAAAAAGAAGCATCTGGACTTCTTTAAGTTGCTTGAAGCCGTTTCACCTCTCATCCAAGAAGCTTCTTCAGTTCTAGGGACTGAAGAAGCTTCTCGGATGAGTGGTCAAACACCTTCAAGCAACTGAAAGAAGTCCAGATGCTTTTCTTTCTAAGCTCCTTAGACTATGATGACCTGAATGACTGAGAACCTTTACAGACAATAGTAACTGATAAAGCTAATTTTACTTTGAAGAAGACATTCTGCTTTAAGCAGTGAGTAGCTTTGCATAATTCCCAGTTCAAAAATAATTCTCAGTCCCTACAAGACGATTAACCCCAACAATCAAATGACCCTCTTTCCTTCCCACTGTTGCCAAAGTGCTTGCTCAAAAACTCAATTTTAACAGGAAGAAACCTCCAGCAAAACCAGGCTCAGTGAGAGGCGGCTATCTGCCAAGACCAGTTGGGGTGATGGGAGGGAAACAGGACGAAATAGTTAGAAATTAATAATAACTAATGATTAAATATAGAATGGTAGCGGTGGTAATTCACCCTATAATTGATAAAAAATGACCTTGAAATCCAAATAAGTCATCCACCACTGTTGAGGTGAACAGCTCATTCATTTGGTAGTTGATATAATTCAGTGAGGGCCACAGGTTCAGTTCACGTCTACTTTTGTATATGGAATTTTCTCCAATATGGCACAACCAAATGGAAAGTTTATGACATACTCCGGTTTCTGGGAATGTGCCTGTGTCTAGCCTTAAATCTGGTGTGGAGTTTAATAACTGTAATCACCAGCATGTAAAATAGTTTGAAACTTGAGTAAACCTTCCCCCCTCCAGAAAAAACAGTAAAGCCCAGACTTTCTGACTGCGAAGTAGTAAATGTGGGAAATGCTGGAGATAAACCCAGACTGACCACAGTGTATTCCTGACATTATCTCAATATTTCATAAGAATAGAATGATTTTTCAGCCCACAGAGGAAGTATAAAGTCTCCAGATGTCATTACAAAACTCAGATTTCAACACATCACAACCTTTTTTTAATGACTGGTACAGTTTTTTGTTTTAAAAAAAAAAAAAAAAAAAAAAAAAAAGTAAGGTTGTTAAATGTTGAAATCATGTGCTTTATGGCCAACAAATGAGGAGAAAATGAGCCAGTAGGGGGCTCTGGCTTCACTTGTCTGCGCTCATTCAGCAGTGACTTTTCAACTGGAGAATTTGAAATTTGTGGAAGGCCCTGATCTCTCAGGAAGAGCTTAGCTGAGGAGTCAGTCAGTGACTGGACTTAAAGACATCCATTTATAAGACAGCTACAAAGTGCCCTACACTGTGAGTGCCAAAGAAACAAAGAGAGCAGATGATTTGTTTGTAATTCTAGTGGCTTTTACACACATCCTGAGCTAAAGTTTAGCTTGTAGTGGCGCAGACACAATTTCTAATTTTGGGAATTTGTATTTTTGTCTTTTAGGAAAGAAATGCACTTATGGAGTAAAGTGTAAGTTCTACCATCCAGAGAGGGCCAACCAGTCCCAGTTGTCAGTGGCTGATGAGCTGAGGGCCCTAAGAGACAGAGACAGAGCCAAGAACATCTCCCCTGCTGCATATCAGCAGGAGCACAGGTACATCTCCACCCCTCCACCTCTGGGCATAGATGAGCTGTCACACAGGGCTTCGCCAGGGGAGCAGTCCATCTGTCAGAGGGACACCAGCAGCCCGAGAAACCAAATGAACTCAAGTCTCCAACACTGCCCGAGCCCAGATATAGATGAAGCCTTCAGCTCCATGGACAGCTCTCTGTCCAGGCTCTATATCCATGACATGGCCTACAGCAGGGAGCAACCTGTGCACAGCTGCAGCAGCGGGGTGGCCAGCTACAGCCTGAGCCAAGATGAGTACTCTGGGTCTTATGGTGGCAACGCCCCGAGGATCTGCCTGAACGGGGGTTACTACGCTCAGCCAAATGGACTGGCATCGCGTGAGCCCCCCACGTGCAGTCAATGCAGGTGCTGTCACCAGCAGACCAGACTATCCCCAAACAGCCACCAGCAGCAGCACCACCACCACCTCCAGCAGCATGGATGGAGCTCATGTCCAGCTCTACCACCACATAATGGGGAGCTTCCCTCTCAATTTGCAGAGAAGCAGTACTACAGACAGCCCTCCCACAGACAGACCCACAGCTTGCCCAGGGACCCATGGGTGCAGGGCAGCCTGTCTGACCCTAGGCTGAGCAGTGGGGCTAAGAGCCCATTGAGCGAGCGGAGGAAGGCTCTGAGGATCCAGCTTAGCACCCTATTCCCCCAGAACATGGTAGAGCAAGTCATGAATGCTTACCCGCACGTGTCCGACATGTCTGAACTGATTTCTCTCATCCAGAACTACAGAGCGAGCCACATCAGTTTCTAGATCCCAAGGATTTTTTTTTTTTTTTTACATTTCTTCAAACCGAGCCCATGTTGGAGTTCTCAATTCAAAAGAAAAGTGAAAACTGAAGAACGAGAGCACTTCTCGAAATTACTGTGAATTCATTATGACAGTTTGTACTGTGCAAAATGATTTGTCTTGCTTGAACATGATGCAAACTTACCCTTCATTTGAAGCATTACAAAGTGAAACGATCTGCAGAAAATGTAGCAGATTGAATGCTCTCTCTTTATCCTAGTGTAAAAGTGCAATGCACTAAGCTCCATACAAGCTACTTATTGTAGCCTGAAAATTGTTTTGTTTTAAATAAAAGCAGCATGTGTTGTTTTCCCATGTTGCCTCAAAGTGAGGAACGCTATATTCTATATTTCTGTAAAGAATGTCATTGATCTATTTTTAATATGAATTCTAATGCCTTGTTTTTGCTGAGAAATAAAAGCGCTCAAACAACATTACCACTGGGTAATTTTCTATTTGAAACTGTGCTTATAGATGTGAAGCTAAGGTGAAATTTCAATGCCATTAATGTCATTAAAAAAAAGAAAAAGAAAAAAAGACAGCCATTGCTCTCTGATGGTAGCTTTAGTAGAGCAGCTTTGCATGATTTACAGTTCAAAATGATCCTTATTTTGGTGCATGCCATCAATCTGAAACAAGCTGTTTACACCTAGGGCTGCATCAGAGAAACAAACATAGCTTCTGGATCTGAAAAGTAAAGTCTGTACAGAAGTGCCACCACCCTGCGTACATCTCCTCCAGCTGAGCTTTTTGCTCAGTGATTTGTGTACATACACCGATTTCACGATTTTAAACTCTGGCCATACTGGAACAGTACAGAACAGCAAATAAGGAACAGCAGAGTACGTCTACTTTAAAGTGAGCCCGCTGTTCAACCAGTAATGACGCTGCAGATGTTTTCCTTCACACGTCAAGCACATGCATGTTCCTCCTGAGACACAGGCTTCTGAGCCTCTTTTTAAACCTGTGTGACATTTTGTTTTGTGTTTAATGTACCGTTGCATTTCCCAGAAAGCTGTTGACTTACAAAAGACGGGACGAAATACAAGGAAGCAGGAAATAAACCGAGAGGAGGCCAGAGTGCTCTCTGACATGTGAGCACTTTTGCAATATCTTTCTTCCTTGTTTTTTAAGGGCTGACATAAAAGGTCCATAAGGCCATGGCCATAAAAATGCAGGTAGTAGATAACACGATGAAACGCTGAAATGTGATAATAAAGATAAAGCTGGAAATTATTGCTTCATTTTGCTATTTTAGGCAATTTTGAAAAAGACTGCATCATAAATTTCTTTTTATCTAACCATCTGCAGGGAAACAATCTCCCAGCCAACCTGTACACTGAGCTATACTGCCATCTAGTGGACAGAACATTCAGAACATGACAGAAGCAGCACAAACATTCTGAATAGATTTTTTTTTTTAATTTTTACAAATAACTTATCTGTTACAAAGACAGTTTTCCCAGCTAAAATCAAAAAACACTTTAGATGTCCAAATTATTTTTTTTTCATGTATTAAAACATGAATAAACTGCCTCTTCACACCAAGGTGCAGATAAAGCTGAAAACTGGTTTTTGGGGGTTGGAAAAAGAAAAAAGTATGACATTAAGTGCTTAAGAGACAAGAATTCATTTATAAATTCATAAATCAGTGAGTTAAAGTCATAGGAAATTTTAGGGGTTTAAAAAAAAAACAAAAAACTTGGATGTGACAGGGCAGGTTATTAATACAAAGGCACTAATGCAAGCCATTGTTTCACATAATCCACAGTTCCACAGTGAAACATGACAGGAAGTACATTTTAGAAAAACCCTCTGCAATAAAAGCTTAGGAGGATGAACTGCTCCAAAGCAAAGTGTGCAGAATAGACAGTTTGTTTTGCCTCAACTGCTCCCAACACGCAACAATCCTGACTGTAAGGCACAGGAACACCTTTAACAGAAATATATTCACTTTGACCTTTGGTACCTAACAAAAAGCCAATTCAGGCACACAGCAACGTGGAAACTGTTCCAGGAGCACTTTGACATGGTTCTTGATTGCACTGGAGAGTGAGTGTCTCTTTGCACTGAGGTGTCGTTGTCCTCCAAACATCAAAACTACATTCCAGTTGTCAGATAAGATGGCAGTTTGTTATTTACCCCTTCCCTCCCCTCTCCAAACCCACCCCCAACAGTCCCGAACGTAATTGGTGTCCTGGAAAACAAAAACACACACTCACGCTTACACTCGCACGCACACACATACACTCACGAAACAGGAAAAAAACAAAAACAAAAACAAGACGCCTCCATCGCCTTCCACTTTTGCTGCATCTGCAGATCATACACAGGAACCTCAGCAATGACGCGGGCGATGAACGGGCCGGGCAGACGTAGCTTCATGATGACTGCGAGGGGTTTGAACAGCTCCACTCCTCTCCTTCTGCAAGGCTTCAACTCTCACAGAAATCAAAGCTTAAAAAGGGGGCACGGTGCTTATTTGGTTGAAAGAAGGGAATCAAAACAAGTTAATAAAAGTCTATAAAGCTATACTTACAGGAAATACAAGTGATTCATAGTGTGAGGAAGAACGGTTTTAAAAGGCACATTCTAAAATTATGTACAGTAAAAAGCTTGAGGGGAGTTTCTGCCTCCGTGTTCTGTACACAAACCATGCAACCGTTTTTTGTTTCGCGTTTTGGTAACTCACGATCAGAGACACAGAGAATGGCGCTGAGGAAAGTAGGCACGTTTGATTGACAGCAACACTGGTGGTTCCTCCTTTGGCATCCACTACAAACAGCAAACAAACTTTAAAGTCCACGAGTTCCCTTCAAGTGGAGAACGGTGGCTCAACACAGTTCCCACCCCCCCTTCCCCAGTCATGCCACCACCACAGAAGAAGAAGAAAAGGGACAAAAAAAAAAAGAAAGAAAGAAAAATCAGCAAAAGGCACATCTGTGTTGAGTGTGCATGTGCGCAATCACGCTGCAGGGCCACGCTTGTAATACTGTGAAGTGGGAGCAGCGAGGTATCCCCAGGGTGTAAAGTGTCACCTGTCGAGCAAGGGATGTGGGGAGAACGGGACCCCACACTATGCCAGTCTCTAAGGTGAGGTATCATCCGACTCTGCCAGCCTATATTAAGAAACGCAAGCTGTAAACACCATCCAGTCAAGCCTTCAATAGACAGTGTTCTACAAGCCTATAGAGAGGAGAAGAAAATAACAAAACAAAACAAAAAAACAAAAACAAACGGGCTGCACGATGTACGAGGACTATGCCCTGTCCCGGTTTTCATACATCTAGGAAGTAACAGACAGAGCCCCGGTCTGTTCTAATCTGCTAGAAGACAGGCGGGCAGAGGAAGGGGCAGCGCGTCGCAGCCTTGTTGGCTCAGAAGTTCCGCGGGAAATCGCACTGTTCACAGCGGATCAGGGCAGGGTGATTGAGGAAGGTGCAGGCTGTGCAGCTCCACTGCGTCCCCTCATCCTCCTGGTCTGTGATGGGCTTCACACTCTTACTGCCCGTGTCTGAGAAGGAGAAGAGGAGTCGAGTGAGGGATGGGACAGATGTAACATCACAAGCGTAAGCATGCATTTATCAGCACTTAAATGTAATATTCTGATAGTGCCTTGGTGTCAAGGAGAAGAGTCTCTAAAAGGCTGCCACTTCAACAAGCAGATCAGATGATGAAATAACAACAGCATCCACTGTGTCTGTTTCATATTTGGAAACCCTCCTTTTTCATTTTTCAAAGTTTTGTAAGCTCACCAGTTTAAAAGACAGCCAGTTTATCAAAGAACCGATACTTCATGGGATTCAGTTTCCATAGGTTTGATTTGACTGATGAGCCAAATATCACCACCGGTCTAATGGCAAATATGTGGCCAATATGTATCTCTTGTGACACATCAATTATGTGTAAGCTAAATGTTCAGAGACTGTGTGAAAAAGAGCTAAAATACTTTAAAACTTATTTATAGAAGACATTTTTTACTCTGTAAGAAACCCCCCCCCCCCAAGGAAGACTGAAAGACAGGCTGATTCCAATATTTTCTCAAACACTTATTCCAAACAACACCTATCTGGAGTTTCGAAAGTTTTGCAAATACCATAAATGAGGGTATGCTATTTGAACATGCATCACAGGGGCTTAGAAATCTGTTAAGCATGCAAAAGAAGTGCATAATCGATAGAAACAGGACTGAGAAGAACCACACAACCATTCCACTATGAGGTCACAGTATTTACACACCCTCTGCTGTGTGGTCCAGCTACAATACAGACATGCACATCAACACGAGGAGAAGTGTAGTGCACTGACTCCTGACCACATGCCGGCTTTAACCTTAGGACAACGGTGTCAAACTCCAGTCCTCGAGGTATCCTGCTTATTTTTGAGATATCCCTGCACTACCTGCTGCTGATTAGCTGGATCAGGTGTGCTTTCCCAATAAGAAGCTACAAGGGCAGATTAGGTGGAAAATAAGCAGGACAGCCGCCCTCCAGGCCTGGAGTTCGACACATGTGCCTTATGATATCAGGGGCGGTGGCCAGTGCAATGAGAAACGTCAGACATGCAACCTTTTTTAAACTTACCAATAGATAAAGTACCTTTGGGTTTGGGTGGGACAGGACCGAGGAATCCAATGTTGTCGTAAAAGTTATGGATTGCACCGGGATTAAAGTGTGGTCCTGTACACAAAAAGAAGGAGAATGGAACCAAGCCTTTCCCACACATTTCACCGCGTGTTGTATTTGTATAACTATGCACGTGACAAATAAAGAATCTTGAATCTTAAGGGACAGTATTGCAAAGGTATGATGTACTATTAGCATTAGGCACTAGAGAGGTCCTGAGGTACTTCCTAGCAGGGAGATCCCCTGACAACGACCTTCAAAGCATCTTTTCTGCACCACCAATAAGAAAACTACAAGGTAAAAACAGCAAGCCATTATAAACTATAAAAACAGCTAACTAACAGCCAGCTCTTGCAGGAATGGCTACAACATTTCCCATTTCACCCATAAAATGCTAGAATTCTGCTAATGCGTGCTGTTTGGGAAGAATTTACATTTAGAGAGCACACACACACACACACTATGAGTTAAATCAACAGAAACCTACACATTTGAGATACACTCATCAGGGCTCCATTCATTCTGGGTTATCTGATGAGCAGCAAAAGCTGAAACAAGGAGTCCAGAGAATGGGAGTTTGAATGTTTAAGATATCCAATTCATATCTAGACTTGCATGGCAGCCACTGGATGAGTAACAAGGGGTTGAAGCTGACTCCACAAGCTCAACAGGTTCCCCTATGGAAACTGAGTCTTACTTCCTCTAGATAGATCTTGTTAACTGAGTCAGTTTAAAAATTTAGGGAGGGGCAAAAATCTCACTGCTATTATATCAAGTTGTGTGTGTAATTGTTGAATGCCAAAAATGTAACTAAAGTTCAAATTCGAATAATTAGCCTGCCTTGCTCCGAAAAAGCAAAATATAATTTCTTCCAGGAGTTATAGGTAATCTTCTTTTTTTACATCACACATGAACAAAGGTTGCAAACAATACATAGCATGGAGGACACTAACAGCAAGTCAGTTTTACAGTCTTGCAACACCAAAAACTTTTATTTGTATCTTTGTTTCTATGTTTTTTCCCCCTTACTGCAAACTGTGGTCAAGTGAGTATAGGACAGGCAATCGCTGTCAGCAGATACCTAAAGCAAAGGTATCAGTATTGTATCCAAACTGCATTCAGTGCGATCAGTGCACCCCTACATTTAAAAACCATTTGGATCCATTCATCTTGATGGAGCTTTTCCATCAAGATGAATCTGTCTCTGAATAGCAGCTAAAATAATAAGGATATCTATGGAAGTGCCATGTATGATTTGCAACAAAGGCCTAATTCACTGAAATTAATAAATACATCAAAATTTCACTGTTTTTTAACAGTCGGTAATACCTTAACAAAAATGATTCTGTGTTGTGATTTAAAAAAAAAAACAAATCCCCAAGGATTATTTATGCCTTCCTTTTCACCTGTGCAGACCTGTTAGGCAGCGGCAGTGATCTGTCGGTTGTGGAGTGCTGCCAGGGGACCAATAAATCCCTTGTTACCCACCAGCTACAGGATGCAATTCAGGAAGAACTGGTAGTTAGCAGCACAATGGTAGCACTTTGGCTGCATGTGTCAAGAGGATGTGAGGAGGCCAGAGTGACGTGCTATTGCTGCCAGGCCTCAATCTGATCTGGCCTGCTTCATTTAATGACTTACTGTTGGCTTTATAATCTGAAAATACACGCAGATACAAATAAATCAGAGATGGTGAGTCAGGCTCGTACCTTTTGTTTGAAGAAGGTCAATTTCTTTGCTGAGGCAGTCTATATCAATCTGCAATGACCTGTTTTGGGATCGCAACTGCTTCATTTCATCAATCTGAAAGGGAAAAAAAGAAAGGGTTCAGACACGTAGCTTCAAATGTAGGTAGCTTGGAGTCAGTGACCTGTGACCGTGTCACGAGGAGAGCTGTTCCACTCTCCTCAGTAAACAACACTGAACCAAAGAGTTCCTGAGCTCAGACCACCATCCAATTAACCTTCCTCAGCTACTTTCTCCCCCACTCTGTTGACTCAACCCGATGAAAACAGCTGACTCGACATAAAGCAGAAAGCACTGCTCTTTCTAAACCTGCAATATTACAACAAAAATCATAGACGTAAATGCAACAGCGATGGTGGATGTGCAGAAAATAAGAAGGGGTGTTTTCTTTTTTCTGAAAGTAGCTGCACAGCTCTAAAATGAACTGCAAAGTGAATCAGACAAAGTGTGTGCGCTATCAGCCAAATCATAAATGGACCCTGTAATCAACATATTTTCAGGGTGTAGGAGAACTGATGTGAATGGCAATATGACCCAGATAATGTGGTTTTGTCTATTCAGCCTTTTATCTATCAATAATAACCAGAAGTACATTTGGTTTCAGTTATGCTGATTCTTTAGCATTTTTATTTCTAAATCAGCTGCTGATACAATCATAATAAACTGTTTTTGTTTATAATCTGTTGATCTGCCAGTAAAAGATGTGGTTTAGGAGACTTTTGACAATTCTCCTTTTCAAAGATTAGAACAATCTGACTGGTTCAGCGAAGAGATCATTACCAGATTTCTACCCAGTTGAATACCTACGAGATATTTTGGACAGATGTGTTAAAAACTGCTCTCCACCCCAAAGATCAAAACAACAAGTGAGGAAAATGTTGCAATGAGCAGTGAAGCTCTTATGGCAGTCTGTTAGGTAGCATTTATGCACATGTTAAATGCTATTTAGAACCTGTGTAAGTAATCTTAAGCCTCAATACCAAGCAACACTAGCTCACAGTTAGCTAGCTAACAGCAGCTCCACCTAATTAGAAATATCACCAACTTCATGCACCAGATTCAACTACAAATGTTTTAAAAAAGACACTCCCACAAAAACACACACACCATAGACTTTTTTTTCCTGGTAACTAACAAATTCTCCTTACAGAAGGAATTTGGGAAGCAGAGTTCGATCTCTCCAGACGTCTCCTGGTCAGGTCATTCTCCATTTCATTGACCTCTTCTTTTAGTTTCTCCAGCTTCTTCTTCTTCATCTCCAACTCATGCCACAGCCTCTCCATTCGTGCCTTCTGATGCACCAACAATGCTAAAAGAAAAGAGACAAACACAAAGAAGTCTCAGTAACAATTATTATCAATGAGAAATGACAACATAATTTAACCTGATTTGTACAGGACGGAGGGTGAAATCCATGAAAAGTTCAAGAAAAACTCATTTATAAAAATTATAATAATGGATTGCATTTATATAGCGCTTTTCAAGAACCTCAAAGCGCTGTACAATTCCATTACTCATTCACTCTAACATTCACACACTGGTGAAGGCAAGCTACAGTTGTAGCAGCAGCTGCCCTGGGGCAGACTGACAGAAGCGAGGCTGCCATATCGCGCCATCGGCCCCTCTGGACAACACCAGTAGGCGGTGGGTGAAGTGTCTTGGCCAAGGACACAACGACCGAGACTAAGTAAAGAACAAAAAAATGCTGACAACAAGCCATTCAAGCAGCACTGTGCTCGTGGGTATAAAGTAACAACACATTTTCAAATGCACCACAGACTGCACACAACAGTCAAACCAGTTAAGATAATTCTCTTCCCATAAAGACAGCCTTGTGTAAGGAGAGACGGCGAAGCAACATTAGAATCCTCACTGCTGCCTTTCATCACCTATTGTGGTAACACAAGGAGATGAGACTTATTCTGATTAGCAAACTGCTGCAGGCAAATTCTGCCTTAACCATGCACATAATGTACTCAAGTCTCTATAGTACATTTCCCATAATTCATTAAAGTTCTTGCACTTTCTGACAGGTGGCAACACCTCCTTCACAGGCATTCTACGATAAACAATTCTCTCCTGCAATACACAAACACTCCTACACTACACACTGAGGAGTTATAACATGATGGCCCACAGAGTCCTCCAGTATTTAATTAATGTACCTGATTCATGGATGTGAGTGAGAGGTTATCAGGTGAATCAGTAGACTTGTATTAAGTCGATTTTTTTCTTTTTCTTTGTTTTCAAAAGGATAAAAAGAATTAACAGGACCAGTAGACATTACGATTGGCAGGAGTTCAACAATCAACGCCAGGTTTGTTTACCAACTCCACTTGTAAGGTTCCCTCCAACTTCATCCACTTTCTGAAGATCAAAATCAATTTGATTCGAGGCTGTTGTGACATAATAGATGAGATCCAGCATACACTGGAGAGGCAAACTCACACACACACTCATGTTACTTTACTGACTACTGGAAGTGATAAACTGAGGTGTATCTCGCCATCCATCTCCTCCTGTGTTCCCTCTCCTCCTGCTCAGTGCAGAAGTGCCTTAAATATGTGTTCTATTTGTCAGCGACAGGTGACCTTTTTGGGTGCAAAAGAAGTCGGAATAACCCCCTGTAAACATTTTATGGATAAATTTATGTTCTAAATTGTCTGACACGTATTTAGTAAATTATGGTCCTTATTAGAGTTAAGAAGGACAACGCTTCATGTTGGGCCAATGTTATAATTGACAAGTCACTGTCGTAAAGGTGTGCAGCATGTACCATAGACATCACTCACTGCTTTTGGACTTTGCATTTAGAAGTGCCATTGTCACTTTTTTGTCCAAAAGAGGTAAAGTGCCAAGTTACTGGCTAAAATTAACAATGCTGAATAACCAGCTGCAGCCGTACACTGTACTGGGACTGAAGCACAAACTTCAGTAATCCTCCATTAAGGTACAAACACTGCAGAACAGTTCAGTTCAGTGACAAACGAAACTATGGCCCAGCCCTGTGTCAGCACACCTGTCAATCAAGGTGATCACACCCACAACTCCAGAATTCAGATGGATGATTTACCGGTACAAAAAAAAAGGAAAAAAAAAAAGTGGCTGTTGCCCCAGAGGGCAGAACCAACTGTTTAACAGTTATGCAATACCACTAATGTTATTCCACTGCCAGACAATAACACACATTCTTGGTGACTGATGGTAGTTAACACAGTTATGTTCAACTAACAGTTATGTGGTGACAGGTGTGTCTGCATAGCACCAACTTCCAAAGTGACCTTGCCAATCAAAACAGTAGGGGATAACATTTTCCCAAACCAGTGAGGATAAACTGATGGAAAACTGCACTGATGAGGGTCAATGGTAGAGGCAGCATGCCTGGTGTGAAGCCCCTCTTGGTGATAGTCACCACAGTGCGGAGCCATAGCTGCTGACTCACTCACAATACAGTGAAAAGCCCAAAAAAGGAAAAAGCAGTGTGCTCTGACATGTTTGACTCACACAACAGAATCTGCAAGTCTCAGGCGCTGGTGGAGCAAATGCAGCATTTATTGTGGAGGACTCACACTAGAGTCATGATCACACCGGCCCCCACTCAGCGAGTCACCTTTGCTTTTCAACTTTGTGGAGATGAACACAACATGTTTCCACTATGGCTGAACAATACTGACAGCAAGCATAGACAGTTTGGCTCAGGAAATGCACTGCAGAGGGTCTTATGGAAAAAAAAAGCAGCATACTTGATAGTTAAATGACTTTCTTGGCAGAAGTCTGTGGAAAAGGTATTTTGGCCTACTGAGAATAGCAGAAACCTGAATAATATTTGTTAATAAAAACAAAAATCAAATGAGATCAACATACACAGGAGGACTGTTGAAGATATTAACCCGCTGTACCTTGGCTACATAGTCAATAAACTGTAAACCAAACATTTCTAACCAGATTTCAGAGGTCTATATGAAATACGATTCACAGTGTAATCAATTTCTGGAGCTTTGTGTCTGTTCAGTAAAAAGCTGAACAGAGAACAGAATAAGTCTATATATCAAGCATTATAAAACAGAAGATGCTTTCTATGCAAACAACTAAGAAATGCTACAATGTCAGCATTGTAAAAATAGTACAGGAGTAATTTTAAAATGGGAATGACCTTTATTATCGATGCTACTGTGTATTTCTTACCTTGTGTGTATGCTGCATCATCAGAGCCCATGCTGAGTCTGCGAGGTTCACTCTGTCTCTCCCGGTGTGGCGAAAGTGGGTCTGAGAGATGCTGGGGGTCTGTCTCCACAAAGTGGTGGTCTTGGGGTAGGCCGAGAAGATTGTTGACGTCAAAAGTCGGGGACACGACTCCAGGGGACACAGCTGGGGGTTTGTTAGGAGACACTGTGATTTTAAAAGTGTATTTGGTGTTGGGCTGAGTGACCACCACGCGTGGGGAAGAAGCTGTACCCCCTCCTCCCACAGAGGGGCGAGATTTAGGTGGATGATGGTGGATGTAGGCAGGGCCCATGCTCACTTGACCCCCTATGTTCCTGGCACCTGAGGGCCCCTGTAAGGAAGGGTTTGTTGAGATGAAGAGTGTGTGAGGATTCCTACCCAACTTGGGCTGTGGGCGGGAGCCGGCTGAGGCAACAATGACTTCCTCGGAGGGAGTGGTAGCAGCAGTAGAGATGTAAACAGTGGGACCCGAGCCTCCGATTGACAGAGGGGTGGCAGGGACAGAAGCTGCCCCAGCAGATGAAGAGGAAGAGGAAGGGCAGGAGGACGTGGAGGATGAGCGGGGCCCGCTGCTCGTCCGCAGCACAGCTGTTGTAGAATTGCTCCTTTGGGGAGATTCAAGTTTGATCTCTATCTGATTCTTCCGTGGGCCGGTGGAGATGTTCTGGATATTGTACTGGCTGATTGCAGACAGGGAGCTGGGCATGACCGAAGAGGAGGAAGAGGAAGAGGAGCATGATGAGACACCAGAGGAAGAGGCCTGACTTCCTGTAGGAAGAAAGGAAGGCGCCTGGGGATTTGTAGGTGAGCTGATGGGCATGTAGACGTGAGAAGTTTGATGGCCCTGGGTCTGGGGCTGTGAGGTATGAGAGGAGGAGGAAGAGTGCTGAGTGCCGGACCAGGAGCCAGACAGGGAGGAAGGATGTGAGATCTGGTAGATCTGCTGCTGAGGCTGGGAAGTGGGGCTGTACTGGGCCCTGCCTCCCTGCTGCTGGTTTTGCCGTGTCGTACCGGACTGGCTAACATAAGGCCGAATGTAAATAGAGTTACCCTGTGGACTGCTTAGGCCCGACTGTGGCCCACCATGTATGTGCAAAGAAGTAGGTGTGTTGCGTCCTGTCTGAATGTTAGGGGCTAACGTCACGGTGATTGGGTTGAAGCGTGGTGTCTGCTGGGAACCCATAGCTGGTGCTTTGCCACCCAGAGGGTAGAGTCCAAGGTGCTGTGGAGGCTGCGGTTTACGCGGGGGCTCCATCACGCCAAATACATTGAAATTGGAGGGCACCTGCACTGGGGCTGACTGGGGCTCCTGCTGATAGAAGTCACTGTTAGTGGCCTGGCCTGTAGAGAGGGGCCCTTCGCTCAGGCTGTGGGCCAGAGTCCGGCTGCCGTTCATTCTCAGGCTGTCCCGAACCGGGCCCACATGCACATTCTGAGGCTGCAGGTCCAGGTTCAGTTGGGTCATGTGATTATGGAGCCTGCTGAAGCTGGGGTCGTCTGAAAAGCTCAGGTTCCCTTCTTCGCTGTACAGGTAGCCCGGACTGACTTGGGACAAGTATTCACAGCAGGCGTCTAAATTGTTGTTATTCTGCAGGAGAGAGAAGAGACAGACTTGTTAGGCAACATGTGTGTTTGTTTCATGTTTACTTCCTTACAGGAAGATGAAAAAACTAAGATGCTTACACCATTTCCATTTTTGAGAATAGCATTTTATGGCCAGGTTGAAAGAAATAATAATACACAGGTACTGAAAATACAACACAATACGCAGACCTACAACAACACAACTACTGAAAAATTGTATGCAGGGATCAATGCTGTAACAAGGGGTGTGGAGCTTGTTTTCTTGGCAGCACCGCTGTCATGCAACAACTAACATACGAACCACAACTTCAGTAGCTCATCCAACTCATGAGTCAACATAATTCACAAGTTACTGCCAATAAAATGATAAAAGAGACCTTGGCATCAATTATGATGAAGCCTTTTGAATTGATCATTGTGTGCAAGTTTAATTCTTTTTCTTTCTCTCTCTCTCTTTTTTTTTTGGCAAGTTTAATTCTGATTAATACTGTAGATGGTGTAGTAATTCTATAGGGGACTAACAGAACATGGATGCCTCTCCATGGCATAATCTCTTTGGTCTTTCAGGCACGGGAGTTAAAATTAGTCCGTTATTCATTGTTAAGACACAAAAGTCCCTTTTCCAGTAGTACCTACTTGGATCGACTCGCCACGGTTCAGGGCTTTTCATCAGTACCTGGTACCAGGTGATCTGAGTAGGTACTAATGGAAAAGGAGCTAAAATGGTAAATGGCCTGCATTTGTATAGCGCTTTTTCTAGTCCCTAAGGACCCCAAAGCGCTTCACACTACATTCAGTCATTCACCCATTCACACACTGGCAAGCTACATTGTAGCCACAGCTGCCCTGGGGTGCACTGACAGAGGCGAGGCTGCCGGACACTGGCGCCACCGGGCCCTCTAAATTGATTTTGGTTTAAGATGAACCACCAGCTGTTACTCCCAACTCTACAAACTTGAACTACACTTTAGTCAATTCACTCAGTGAGTTTTGGAGTTTCTTTTTGTTTTTGTTCTTAAATGCACTACCAGATCATATCCCACTTGACATCTTTCTAAACTGCGACAACTGATTTTCACCAATCAAAAACATTGTTTAAAAAAAAAAAAAAAAAACTAAACAAAAAACCCCCCAACAACCTGATAATCGACTCAACTCATTTCATCCTGAGCATGATCATCCAGAGTATACAAAATACTAGACATGTTTTATCAAGGCTGGACTAAAGATACTAATTTCTTTAGAGTAATGTGAAAAAAAACGTAACCTTGGTTGCCCAAGCACAATCAGGAGGTAAGCTTACACACTGCATCATTTTGGCCCACTCTCCTTTATGCCATAAAGGAGATGCCACTTAGCTGAATTCATTGTTAGTATACACTACTATCCTGTTCCCAGGCATGAAAACTGCTTTGTCTTATTCAACAGCTATCTCAATTTATGCTGTTTTCTTTGTTGCATTCACTTCTAAGATACCAACACTGAGCCACTGACAGTTGATACAAAACACACAGACATGAAGCAAAAACACCATAAATTATGCAGACTTTATTTTCTTTCACATAATTGCGAGCAGAGGTGTTTATAACGCCCTTACCTGCAGAACACACTGGGAGACAACACCTTCTGGGACTTCAGGGAACTTTTGGCGCAGGTCATGCAAAACCTGAATGTCAATCTGGTGGCTTCCCTGGGCCATTCGTATGATGCCAGGTCTGTTTGTTCTGTTCAGCACACGGGGAAGTCAGTCTCAGCAGCAAACTGCCTTCATTTTGAACATCTTCTAAATTGAAACAAAGAAAGGAAGGAGAGAATCTGATAAGGAAACAACACTCTCTTCTCATGGTGCTTCTGTCAAATAGAAACATCTCTTTCTCTGTACAGACAATACTCTGACCACCATTTCACCATTATGAGTTGTATAACGGTGTTTTGTTAATATTCAGTAAGGAATCTGTCCAAGAGGCAGAAAAGGAGCAAATGTGGTCTATTGCAAATTTTCTCTAAAAGACATCCGTCAGCCGTTTGAGGTCGACTTTTTCATTATTGCCTGGGAGCTTTCAAAACAAAATTTCAGAGATGTTCAATGAGAACAGACAGCATTCATTTCAAAAGCCCTTCTCCCCACAAAGCTCCTTAATAAAAGAGTAGCAAAGGGAGGAAACCACCTCCAACTGACTACTGAGAAAAAACCTTTCCAACTCATCTCAACATCAACATTCACTTATTACAGAAAAGAAAAGGGCCTGAAAACCAGCGTAGTGTGGATGCAGATCTTCATATAGACAGGCAGCTGTGCAGAACAGTTGATTCCTCAGAATCCCACTGTATGATAAAGACCGAGCTAAAGGGCTGCATGCCATTTGTTAGTTTCCCTTCCTGCACACATAAATGTGAACCACTGAGAGAAACATTTGTGAGCCACAGTAATAATGCTGCTGCTTTGTTATGTTTTACAGCTTTTGAACAAAGCGCTGTTGGAAAATGACTAAACAAACATGAAGAGTATGAAACTGCACATTTATATCTCCAAGCTAAACTGCTACAGAATAACAATGGACTTAATTTTTTGCCCCTATAGTGCAAACTAAACATTTCTCCTTCCAGCTCTTCAAATTAGGTCTAAAGGGAATCTTTGAGGTTTTTACTTATTTCCTCTCATAATTTGAAATTCACTACATACTTGCAACAACAGTGAATGCAAAAATTAAACAATGCCAAAGCATTTTGACGTCAGGATTCGTAACCACTTCGAATGCCATAAATGCTCTGTTCTGTAAGCACAGAAGCCCCACCAACCTGGTCTTCAAACCTGTATGTGAGAGGCAGCCAATCACAACAGTGGGTTAAAGAGAGTAAAGCCTTACAGAGGGAACAGCTAAGCCAGCATGTTAGTTTGTAAAGTGCAAAGTTAGTCTAGTGGAGACTTGAGCAAATTAAACACATTTAATTAAGATTACATGTGATATTTATGGTTTGATTAAAATTTACTGATGCATCTCGATATCAGAAGCACTTCTATATTGGTATCAGCCATTATCACCCCTGCTGACACTAGCTGATATACAGTAAATAAAATACTGATATCAGGGGCTGACGTATTTGCTGTCTACCACCAATTTTGCTTTGGCTATACATTTTCATAGGCAGTGAGATGAAGAGCTAAAACACAAAACTCAAAAGGTGAAGCACCTACAGAAACCAAACAAACGAGAAAGCAATACTGGTATCATCTATCTTTCAAACTGTTGCATCGGCCCTGAATTTCACAACCATGTTTGCCTACTTGAAAAGGATTCTGCTGCAAGTTAAATTCTACTTTTGGCACACACTTCTTATATTTAGTGTACCATCAGTAAGTCAGCTTGTATTAGTAAACACTTTTCTGTATAGTTCAAAATATAATAAACACCACGGGCTCCAAACCAGGACTAAAGAAAAAAAGAAAGAAAAAGAACAGAAGCTGAGTATGTTTTAAAAGACCAAGTTGGCTGGTAGGTTGTACTTCATTCAACGTATAAGCTTTACTCATACCTGGGAACTTGCCAAAGCAACCACACTTTACTACTAGCCACTGTGCAATTTCTCGAGCAGTCAACGCACTGCAGTCATCTTTCCTGCAAAAAACCTTTTCTATAATCCCGCTTCTCCACCATTATCCTGCTGTGTGAAGGAAGCACAAGCAGACAAAAGTGAACGCAGCAGCCATGAGAACTTCAAAGCGTTAGTTCATGACAGCCATGTTTAGTCTTCTCCCACACTTTTCTTCTAACCACACTCTTTCGAAACAGCTTTCAGTGGGAGGTTCAAATATGCCAATCACAACATTGTGACACATGAAGCACACCCTGTTGTGTTCGACGCCAGTCAATGCTAAAAAGGAATTAGTGATACATCTCAACAGCAATCCTAACATGAGATTTAAAAGTGAAATCATTTACAGAGACTTAAATACACTTACTTAATGATGAGAGAAATCATGAGTGTACTTCAACCTCACTGGGATCTTATTTCAGCCAAGAAGCAGCTGTTTTTGCCTTATCTGTGAAATGAGGATGTGTAATGTCATAACTTCAAAGTTGTAAATCAGTTCTGCAAAACATCCGTCTATAGCTGAAAGCAGTAGGAGGACCTATTTGCTACTGTCAATCGTAGGGTGGCAACTGCAAAGAAGTGCTGAAGCTCCTTTTCGTGTGAGAGACTAAAAATCCATAGCAGGCAACATGAAGTCAAAGCTGAAGATCTCCTTAGAAGAGCACTACCAGCATAGACAGTCATGTTTTCATCTAAAAAAGAAAATATATTTTCTTTCACAGAGATACAACTTATGATATTCTCCACTTATGAAAGACTTTTCTTTCCAGGTCCTCTTGAAAGAGAAGAACCATTAAAGTCTTGATAAAACTTGTCCATTACATAAGAATCTAAAATAACTGTCAGTGCTTTCTTTTGTCTTCTGAAATACAAGCAAATGGAAAGCTTTGCAAGTATGCCACCAGACTGTGGAATTCATTTAGAGGGTGTCGAAAAGAAGCACAAAGTGCAGCTTGATGAGCAACTAACTGCAAACCAGAGGAAAACAGTGTGCCGCATCTCAGATTACATGTTTAGAGTAAAGCCTACTACTCCAGTAAAGCATGCTCCGTCTCCACCAGCACACGAAGCTAATAAACCCACAAGAAAATGAATCTTTTTAAGTAGTCAACTTAGGGAAACTAATATATTATCAGTGTATATTTACCTGTTTGACTTACAGGCTAAGAGGATGCATGAGTGCAGGGAGCCAAAGGGCAACAGTCCACAATTTAAACTCCACTTAGAGAGCTGCAGCACAGCCGTTGTGGGACAATGGGAAAGGAAATTCGCTGTTTGGCGGCTGACCCAGTTACAGGTCAACAGCATGGTTAGATTGTTTCCTGACTTCAAAAAAAAAAAAAAAAAACAGAAAAGAAAAGAAAAGAAAAAAGAAGGAAAAAAAGGTCCACACCTCTTCACTCTAGGTAATTATAGGTCTGTGAGCGGCCCGTGTATTAGGGGTTGCTCTGACAGGAGCAGATCAGTGCTTGCTGTCCCTGAAGGCAGCAGTGGAACGATGCCTGAGGCAGCACAGATAGAGACAAAGCTCCCATTGCTCAGGGTGTTATTCACTGTGCCAAAGCATTGACCCACAGCCCCACATTCATTTCTGGCAGTAGCAGGCCTTGCCATGCTACATCAATGGAGTCATTCACTACGCAAGACTGAATGCTCCTAAAAACGTCCAAATCAATTAAAGTTTAAATAAAAGGGGAATAAATCATCAACAGGAGCTCTTGGCAGCAATATCAGTCCAGCACCTGATGCTTGTGCAATCCCCCCCTCCCAAAAAAAAAGTTAGCTGACAAAAAAACAAAAACAAAAAAAAACCAAAAACACAAAAACACACTGAATTACAGCTGGGCCATATCATACCGCTCACGGTAATACCGGTATAATGTTGGGCAACGATAAGAAAATGAAATATCGCGATAGAATATGGGTAAAACGCGCATGTGCCGTGCCTTTGTACCTGCACCGCTTGATGGATTCTCGGAGCATTACAGCTATCGTAGGCAGGAGCCTCGCGGAGTGATACGTACTGTGCTTCAACATAATATTACCTCTTTTGAAGTTTTGTGGATATTATACATGGTTATGCTGAGGATATGTTGGCCAATTCCCACTGGAAATACCTTTTGGTTAAACTGTCAGCAAGGTTTTGCATTTGCACAGTTAAATTTTTATATAGCTTTAATGCACATAAAAAACAGCTGCTTGTTCAAGTGAAAATACATTATTAGTGCAAAAACCCCCATCAAAGTTGTGAAGTTGTAAAGTAATTTGTCTAGTGTCAGTTATATTGTTATCGCAAATTTTCAAATGTGTTATCGTGATAAATATTTTTGGTCAGATCGCCCTGCTCTACTGTGAACAATAAAATGTCATGTCGTACTATCTACTGATTGCAGATAGTGGAATGCATGATGGTAATTGTTTAGGACAGTGCTGAGCTCGTCATGTCAAGTCTTCAAATGACTGATCTTCTGCAGAAATGGTAGCTCAAACATTAAAAACATACAGGTTGAATCCAAAACGTCCCCTGCAGCTTTAAGGAGCAGCACAGCAGCACTGCATGAAATATTTCTGCTGTGTCTTGGTCCAGCAAAACCTAAACAAATAAAGACGCTAATTGGTAGCCTGTCCCTCCCTCACCCCAAACTCACATGTATGTGTAAGTTTGTGTGTGCATTAAGCAAACACACTAACACAGGCATGGACATGTCGTACTTGAAAACATCATGCACAGTCAGCTACTGCTAAACGCACTCACAGGACCAGTATCCACTCCTGTGAGTCATGACTGTGGCAAATTATTCTCAGAATAGCAAAGCAAGCTGCTTACTTACCGACTTAGAATAATGTTGCACATAAGCAACATATTTACAACACGGAGCTCTCAATAAGGCCAATCAAATCAGTTTAATTACACTTCAGATAGCAAGGAATGCACTAAAGATAACGCAAAGCTGTAGATCAAATGTGCTGTACTACACAGTGTAAGATTTATGATTATGCTGAGCTATAATGCAACTTGCAGCTGTCTGCTTCCATTTATTCACATTATTGTGTATTACTCACATATACGTGTTCTTAAAGAACGCAACGTGACTCATACTTTTTGCTCCGTTTCATTTCATTTCGATGCAATGACTTTGACCAATCACAGGCCTTACCTTGCCTCCCACAAACCATAGAAATGCATGGAAATTTTACTGAGGAGTCTAGTCTTAACAAGAGCTCTCAAGTCATCAAATAAGCTGCGACCACCTGAATCAAAGTGATTTCTCACCATATTAATGTCACAAGGCAGAGTAAAATAAACTTTAAGATACACTGCAATTGTGTAAGGAATCTTGAGACAACTGTTCAAGACACGCACACGCACGCACACACGCACACACACACGCGCACACACACACACGCACACACACTCACGCACACACACACACACTAAGTGCAGAATCCAAACTGCCATCCACTGTCCATTGAAGCCTGGGCCTCAAAGGCCATGCAGAGCTGGGATCAACTCTGCTCAGCTTTTAGTTGCTCGCTTTTGAAAATAGGGACATGAAACTGTTCATGTGCATGCGTGCGTGTGCAGGAAATCAAAAATTCTTCAAGACCGCAGCCTGCAGATGGTAGTTGATTGGAAGCAGGCAAGAGCACCAGCTCCCCAGGTTAACCAACCCCTCCCAAGGCACTGTGGGAAACTGGGAGGTCTTAGAAGTGCGAAGACATGCCTTTCTCGAGAGACCTCTCTGTGCAACCATGGACTGACAGCTTTTTCCAACTTTTTGTTTTCTTCTGTAAACACCATACAGGTAAAACAGCTGGCCCGTTGTGTCCATCTTTGCCTAATAAGGGAAGGAAAGGAAATGAACTCACCTCCTTTAAAAAAAAAAAATCCTCCTCCACCTACCTCTTCAGTACAAAATGTCTGTGGGCAGCACATTGCTGAGCTCATTAGCCAGGTTTTTAGAGTACAAATGTGTGTGTTCCATCACGCAGCTGGCCTACAGCTGTTTTCACCTGCAACCACCTCGACCACGAGCAGGAAGGTGGCGGGATGCTAATCCATTAACAAATCTAATTAAAAATACAACTGTAGCTATGCTGCTAGCTGACAACAGTTATTTCCAATCTGTAGCTTTTAAAGGCATGAAAAGGAAAAATAAATAAATAAAAAAGTAAGACAATAAACTGTTTATTTGTAGTAAAACTGGCAAGTCATTAAGAACACATTAAAAATGACAGATTGATTTAGTTGAGGTGCTCTCTGTTACCTTTCCTAAGCAGGTTTATGCCATTTCCACACTGGCTTACTTTTCAAAGCTGGAAGCTATGTTCATCTTTTATCTACAGTCTGTGGCTAAAACATAACCTGTATTAAGCATTACAAAGCTACTGAGTTGACTTCTTCAATTCCTTTCGTAGTGCAAACTCCTCCGACAAGACAAAAGAATTTCTATGTTTACTTCTCTTGCAAAAAAGTTTGAAAATCTTAGACTTTGAAGACGCTTACTTGCCAACAATGGGGAGAAAATAAAAACTGCTTACAGACAACTTATTGAAAAATGAGAAGCTAGTTACTATAAACTAACCTGTCTTCCAACTGTATATCCATATGTGAAAACAAATTATGAGGACGTCAACTATCCACAACTACATAAACAGGCTTAGCGTCACATAGCTGTTGCATTTCCTCTCTAACCCCGACTGGTCAGGGTAGACTGTTGCCTACTCTAAATCTGGTGCAGTAGCAATTTTTTTCCTTTCAGCGGAAGTTTGTCCTCCTCACTGTGTGCTGTTCATGTGAGAATCGGTGGCCTTGACCTTGCTATAAAGTTGCATGAGATTATTAACAGTACAAGGTAGGGCTGCACGATTAATCGTTAGAAAATCGCGATCTTAATTCATACTTATGTGCGATCTCATTTCCAAATGACAACGATTTAAAAAAAAAA